ACCTGTAGGGGAGGGTGGGCGGGGGGGGAAGAGAAGGGAATGAGCAAGCTCCAACTTCCAGGAAGCTTTGCCTTGTATGAGTCTTCTCACAGCTATTCTGCACTGCCAGAGTCTCCTCCAATACTTCTGAGTCACAGGCCTAGTAACAAGCATGCAAAAAGTGTTAGAATCCAATATTCTATTCTGAGTAAATGATTCCAATGATTGTGGCCAAAGCATCAGCCAGGGAAATGGCATTCTCAAAAGGAGAGGTCAACAATGGCAGCCTACCGAACGCTCTCACAACAGATGGACTTCAAATTGATTTCCCCCGTCCTTTTGTCTTTCCTGCCATGGAGTCTTACTCGTTCTCCTGCATTGCTTATGATGTGAAATGAATAGTCAGATCCCGTAGTTGTAATGGTCTTAGCGGGTGGGTCAAGCTGGTAACTTGCATGGGAGAGATACCCCCCCCCCACCACCACCAGCAGCCATCAATTTATGAACCTGGTTTTTCAGCATAATGGGCAGGCTGGGTAGTCCGTAGTGCGGGGATGGAAAGGGTCGCCCTTGACTTGGCTTCCAAAAGTTTGGCCTGGATTTAGGAAGTCTTGGGGTGCTGGGAACACATTCCAAGATGCATATGGATACCTGATATATATCTTATGTGGAAAGGGTTAAAGTAAAGCTGAACACCAGGATAATATTTAAACACAAGAGCCACGTGTATTATTAATTGAGTCCTGGTTTCCAAAGGCATTTGGGGCACTCGGTGGATTTCTATCTTCTGTGGCAATGGAGGAATTTATGTGAATGAAAGTTTTTGTGCCCGGAGTTGGTGTTCTGGTGCAGTGTCTATACTAGCCGGAGAAGCTGCATATGATATACGAGCCCCGGCAGTATGTACAGACCACTTTGTGATTACTGATCTGCCATGGCAGGCCTTGTTCAATACGTTTTATGTTGGCGGGATGTTTTTACTGGATGTATTTACCTCAACTTTCCCTGCAGGATCCTCTGTTCAGGTTCTTTGAACGAGAAGTAAAGATGGGCGCCAAATTACTGCAGGACGTGCGCCAAGATCTCACAGACGTCGTCCAGGTCTGTGAAGGAAAGAAGAAGCAGACTAACTACCTGCGCACACTGATCAAGGGTTTCGTTGGAGTCTGGTGGGTTAAGTCAACGTCTGGCTTCTTATGTGTCTTAGAAACTCCAACAGTGAGATCTCCCGGCCAGAATTCCAGGCTCTGCTCCTGTCTACCTGGGAGTTTTAGGTGTCCTCGCCCCCCTTTGTGTGCTCCAACTCATCCTGCTGCAGTCTCTATTATTTAAAATGAATAAAAGATCCAGCGAGGATGGTTGGAACCCTTTAAAACATACCACAGGTGTACAGAGCCGGGAACTCACTGATGGAGTCCCCAATAGACTTTTTACCAAATACTGTTATTAGTTTTGGGTGGGCCCGGCCCTTTAATTGGAGATTTTCTATAAAGTGGAGACACGGCCCATAGAAATATTTTTGAATTATTTAGTCTGTGTGCAGTACACATTGTTACTTATCGTTGGGTCTCCTGGAAATACTTGTGCCCAAATTCTCACAGATTCCAATAAAATAAAAGTGGTAATGAAGAATAAGGACTATGGGGTGATAGGAGTAGGAAGAAGAATCTGCATATGTTGCAAATATGATTTGGATCCGTGTACAAATCCAACTACAATCTACGCAGAAAGAGGTTTTAAAGCTGAACCCGGGCCTTCTCTTTAGTCATGAGCAGTTGTCCCGCCTCCTCTCCTGGACTGAAACTGGGAGCTTCTCACAATGTGCATTGGAAGCTGCAGCAAGTCCGAGAGCCCGCCTCATTTCCTGGCTGGAGGACATCCAGCATCATCCTAAACCTTTTCTCCCCAGTCTGACTGTCCCTGGGCCGCCCCTTTCATTCATTGGCTTTGTAGTGCCCCCTCTAGACTGACATCCACCCATCAAGGTTTTCCTTAATTCCTCCCAAGACCCAGCTCACTGTTTGCATTATCAGTGCTGGGGACTCAAGAGAGAAGTATTGACACGGGGTGCTATATACAGCCCCTCCCACCAGCCATGAGCTGCCTGCCATACATAGAGATGCACAATGGGTCTAAAATAAGGTATAGATAGTACACCCGTACTGGTGGAGGGGAAGGCCCATTCGTCCAAAGGTAAGTATGGGTTGGGGGGTGGGTCAGATTTGAGCAGGTAGTTCCATTTTCCCAAATTACTTGGGAAAGTGAACTTTACCCTTTAAGTGGTGGGGGTGACAGGGGGCAGGTAAAATATGAGCTACCTTAAATCTTAAGCACACACTGATATTAGTCAGTCTTCTGGATAAGTACCAAACACGATTATACATCTGCAGAGACTCCTCAGATCTGCACAGTGAGTTCTAAAATCTATTCTTTCCCTCCAGGCATCCTGCCTCGCAGCTGGTCTCGTTTCACCGTCCCGGCCAGCATGACGGTCATTCAGTGGGTGGCGGATTTCAGTGACCGCATTAAACAGCTTCAGAACATTTCTCAAGCGGCTGCTGCCAGCGGAGCAAAAGAGTTGAAGGTAAGTGAAGGAGCAATGCATACAGGTTACAATGTAGCCAATGAGAATGGAGGACTATGTGAACGAACGTTGGAGATCTAGAACGAGGGTGACAGCATAGACCTTTGCTGATGTATTGCTGAAGCTCGATTCTGTACAATGAATTGACGGATATTTTTCAGGCGGTGTCTTTAGCCTTCCGGCAATCAGTGGGATCTAGCTGGCGACGATTGCTTTCTCAAGCTTTGGACGAAACCTCCATTTTTTTTCAGCTGCAGGTTTATTTTCTGTTTTACAGAACCTCCACGTGTGGTTGGGTGGCCTGTTTGTCCCTGAAGCCTACATCACCGCCACCAGGCAATACGTGGCCCAGGCTAACAGCTGGTCACTGGAAGAGCTGTGTCTAGAAGTCAGTGTGACCACTACCCAGAATGCAATGCTGGATGCTTACAGCTTTGGAATCACAGGTATGCCAATGAAACCAGATCCTGCTTTATAGGTTTGTGTTTTCCCTGCAACACCCATTTTTTCACTTCTCTATCACATGCATGGCAGAGGCGAGCTACACAATGTGCGCAATGTCCATCTCTGTACCGGCTGCTAATTTTAAAATGGATTCCTATTTGATCATTGGTGTCTTGTCAAGTAAAAATCGTTCTGTGTTCCCTGAAAGCCACGGGTCAGATTGTGTCTCGGGATTTAACCCATCAGATCCAGATTTTAATTCTCCAACCCCAAAAACAACCAATTTTAGTTTGCTAAAGCTCTGTGACGAGACAAGAGCCCTCTCTGGGCCCATCTGCAAAGACAAAAAGGAATCCATCTTTCTGTAAAAGTGTTGGCTGAGAGATTCTCACATCCAAACAATGGAGAAAAGGGTAAAGTTCCTTTTTGGTGAACTGGAGCTGGACAAGAGGGACGGAACAACAATGTCCTGGTTGAGGTGAAAGCCCCAAACTATCTCAGGTAAAAAGTCCTCAACACCACCTTGTCTCTATGCAAAAACAGAATTCTATGTAGGATAAGACTGCCAGCTGAGGTGACTGCTGCAAGGAAAACCACCTTGAGGGTGAGAGAGAAGAGAGAGGAATGTCTGTAATGGGTCGAAATGGAGGTTTGTGAAGCACAGAGAACCAAATCCAGATCCCATGGAGTCACTTGGGAAAAGTCAGGGGAACTACATGGGAGAGTTCCAATACAAAGGCCTTAAGCAGTGAGAGGTCAACAGTCTCTGAAACGGGATGCAAAGTACAGAAACCTTCCCCTGATGGGAGCCAAACACTGGTCCAGATCCAGCTGCAAAGAGGATTCCTCCCTCAGAGAAACTCCTGGAGTGAAAGCCTTGAGACTCACCCCAAGTAAATGATGCCTTCAAGGGTTAAATGATGAACCTTGCAGTAGGTAGACTTGTAGATTTTAGCATCATATGAATGAATCTGACTCCGATATGCCCCTGTTCCTCCAGAATATGGGCATTGACAGCCATGCCATTTAAAGCCAAAAACTGAGAAGCAGCCTGGCAAACTTGCCCTTGGGACAGAAGATCCTGATTAGCAGTGCCCAGAGAGCGTCTGCCAGAAGTCTTAGCAGGCCGGCATGCCAAATCCACCGGGGGCCAGTCCGGAGCAATGAGTATCGCTGGAATGCCATCTCGGTCCAGAGGAAGAGATGGAGAAAATGCATAGATCAGGGTGTACTGATCCCACGGAGCCACCATAGCATCCACTTCTTCAGCAAGAGGATTCTTGTACCTGGATAGAAGCCTGTCCAGTTGGTTACTGAACCTGAAGACAAGGAGGTCTACATCCGGTGTCCCCCCACCTGCAGCACTGAAACCTTCAGGTGTAGGGACCACTCACCTGGGTCGAGCCACCACTGGACTGGCCTACTCATGAAGTCTTCAGAGTCGGGGGAAATGCAGAGGCAATGCCAGCAGCCCTGGAAAGCCCCTGTGGCTAACATTTGCTAGAATGGAGACTGGAAGGTGCCCCATGCCCAGAGGTCACTTCCAGGCTATACCTGTGGAGTCCAGATGCATTACTCCAAAAGCCAGGCTAAGGACAACTATGCCGGACAACTGCAGTCAGAGTGAAAACTCCAGAAGTGATGTCTTGGAAAATACTGAAAGAGAAAAAAGTGCTCGGAAAAAAACAGATCAGTCCCCATTGCAGCAGAGCTGAAGAGAAGACATCATGTGCTTAGGGCACTGGCAGAAAACTGAGGCATGCTGGTAGTAAAGGGGGTGGTGGGAGTTATCCTTGGCTAGCCTGCAGTTCAGTAGGCAGCAGTATAACCCAGAAGTTATAGACTTCCTGTGTCCCTCAATGTCCTTTTTGATATTTTTTGACTAATTTCTCACATCCAATCACATTTTAGGTCTTAAACTTCAAGGAGCATCCTGTACCAACAACAAGCTGTCCCTTTCCAACGCCATCTCTACAATACTGGCTCTTACACGGCTCCGCTGGACCAGGCAGACCAACGACGAGAAGAAGGCCAATGTGGTGAGTGGATCTGCAGAATGGAGATGGGTACAAAGCGAAGGCAGTATACTATTTCCCCCTGCGTCCAGCATTTGAAGCCTCCGCTCACAACCTTCTCTATTCTCTTTCAGGTCACTTTGCCGGTTTACCTGAACTTCACCCGGGCTGACCTAATCTTCACTATTGACTTGGAAATTGCCACTAAGGAAGACCCACACAACTTCTACGAGCGTGGAGTGGCCATCCTGAGCACGGAGTAGATGCGGACCCTCATTGCTCATCATTTCCTCTACCTGTTCATGTTAGTTTTGTGTCGTGTATACAGGAAAGACGAGAAGGCTTTAGGTAAAGTGTCAGGAAGGAAACGTGTTGTTGGAAGGTGGATTGTGAGAAGCAGAAACTGAAGGAATACACTGGAGGGAGTCTAGAAGGTCAGGGAGGTGATTGGTTATCTGGAGACAGGCTTTGGTAGGTTTATGTTTGGACAGTGGGAAAGATGAAGGTTTAAATGTCGTTTTTACATGACCCCGATCTGTAACGTATCCTCGTTTTAACCTAATAAATATGCATTCTATTATTCTGTGTGTGGTCATTTCTTCTGGGTTCATGGAACTTTTGTCAACCTGATACTATCCCTGGCTCCTTGCATCTCTCAGGAGCTGCAGCGGTGAGGTCTCGGCACCCAAATTCTCACCCCCAAAATACTGTTTAAAGGAGAACTGAGGTGTGATTTTACACTCATCCTCATAGTAAAAGCCGACGTGTCACAATGAAACTGTCACACGTCGGCTCAATAGATCGGGAAGTGAGCGAACACATACCGGCACTCGCTCACTTTCTGATCATCTCCCTGCAGAGAGCCGTGACTGACCCCACAGGGATTCCCCCCGCTCCGATCCACCAGTATTGACTGGCGGAACGGACGGGGGAGGGGGCATGCACAGCTGGTTCTGCCTCTAGATAGGCAGAGCCAGCTGTCAGTCAGCCAGCTGGGTGGATCTCGACCGCATTGTCGGGATCTGTCCTTGCTGCGGGCGCTCTCAGTATATCGCGGGCAATAGCCCCCTATATACTGAGCTTTGGTCTTCGTCTTCCCGTGCCCCTAACAAGAACTATGGGATAAAAAGGTTACCCCATAGTTCTCGTTTAACTCCAGCAGGGAGAATGATTCTGCCATGTGATAGGTACATATGGAGAAGAATAGCTGGGAACATAAATGCAGATTACCGAGATTGGTGTCAGTAATTCAGTTTTGAAACCAAAGGCATCCAGACCAGAAGAATTCTCAGGAGGTCAGCAATGGAAGCCTCCATCTTTCTGTCCAGTACAGGTTTCCTTTAGAGACCCTGCCCATGTAAGGTTAAGTGTAGGGCTGCAACCAACTAATCGAAAATGAGAATAGTTGTCAACTATTCCCATTATTAATTAGTTGGTTGGACCCCCTAGCTCTCTCCTCCATGCTGGGAGGAGGGCACTGCAAGCAGTGGGCGGGTGCAATAGCCAGCCTGCTATTGCAATTTGAAATGGCCAATAGCAGGCTGGCTATTGCACCCGCCCACTACCTGCCATATTTGCTGTCAGCTGCCGTCTGCGGAATCTTGCCACCGGCAGCCGTCATTCCCGGGCTGAAGCTATTCAAGGGCCCTGTGCTTACAATGCAATTATAAAAGGTGGGAAAAAAAAAGTCCTTTTCACTTTCGGCCTGAAACATTCTGCTGCGGGAGGTGTGGCAGCGCCACTCATTTCAATGGCACCCCAAACGCGCCTCCCACCCACAGTGTGATCTCCTACACTGGAACGCACAGTGCCGCAAGGCTGAGCGTTCCAGTGCAGTGCGATTGAAAAAATTGTGTATGCAGCTTTATTCTGAAGTAAACATTGTAACACAGCGTTTGGGTATTTTAAATTAAGGATGATATTTATTTAATAATTTTTTTAATCCGGTTAATCGGAAAAATAATCGCCCGACTAATCGTTTATGAAAATCATCGGTTGCAGCCCTAGTGACCCCCCCCTCATACTCTCCTCCTTATCAGGACTCCCTTGGCCTCCATAACTGGAAAAAAGCCTTTGTCCTCCACAGCCAGTACTGAAGTGACTGTCATGTGACTGTACTTCAGCCCAGCGATTGGCTGCTAGACTTGAGTACTGTCACAGGGGAGGTGATCACATGTGCCTTCATATCTGGAAGACCCAGGAATCATAGATGGCTGTGAAGGAGGAACGTGCTGTATGGTAAGGTGTGTAATAGGGGGTTGGGAGCCCCTCTAACTGCATGGATAATTGACAGTGTTCCTGATCACACTCTGAAACGCAATTAAAAACTCCCAAAACCTCCCTTTTGAGATCAGAGCGGTAACCGCGCTGATCCGCAATGTGCTCTTTACCAGGAAACTGACTGGCTTTTCACCTTTGCAGATACAGCAGGTTAAAGAGGACCAGATGTCTCTCCTGTAAGCCCTCGTTCACACCTGAACGTTTTGTAGCGCGTTCTACGCTCGATGAACGCTCTACAAAACGCTCAAAAATATAAATCCCATTGTATTCAATGGTCTCATTCCCACCTTGGCGTATTTCCGCCCGTCCCTAACGCGCTACAAAACGGCCCACGCCTGAAAAGGTACAGGTACTACTTTGGGCCGTTTTGTTGCGCGTTTCCATTGGGATACAGCCAAGTAGCCTTCGGAAACGCGTGAATGTCGCGCAACTTTTTTACCGTGAATCGCGGTAAAAAACATGCGTCCGTCGCGCTACAGACGCGCATATGCAATACGCCTAGGTGTGAACGAGACCTAATGCTCACTCAGTAACTGGTAGTTCAGTCTGTATGATTCTTATAGATCAGTAGTCCTCAACCTGTGTAACCTCAGGAGCCACATTGGTCCTTGGTCGTTAAGTCGTGACACAAGCTGCACCGCACTGGAATGCATGACCTTACCAGGACTGGCGTGGATCCTCAGCCTTGGGGCTGCTGTACTTTGACGGAGCTCCATCCATATGTGCAGTGCTTGCACAGTTCCCTTGCGTGCCCTGTAGAGGTTCCGGGAGCAGGGGCGTATCTGCGGCGAGGCAAACAAGGCGTTTGCCTGGAGCGGCAGATTTGCTAGGAATGTGAAGTCACTCTGGTCCAGGACACGTGAGGGAGCTGAAAGCAATGCATGTATGGATGGAGCTCCCTCACAGCCATAGCCCCATCCAATCCCACCTCAAGCTGACACTGGTCACCAGGCAGCATATTTTAAATGGATGCTCGGTGCAAGAACTGACAGTGCTGTGCTAGGGAGAGGCTGAGGCGCCTCTCGCCTAGCATAGTGGAAGGCACACGGTGACCCGGTGATTATGGGGTTGGGACCCATCATGTGAGAACTACGGTTGTAGTCGGGGCAAGATTCCCGGAAAGGCCACCAAGGGCCCGGCCTCGTCACCCGACGCCCGGAACATGGCGTGCCGGGCGGTAATTTGTTTTCTACATTTAGCTCTGCTTTGCACAAGCTGCACCAAATGTAGAATAGGAGAAATCGCCTGTTTCTTTACAAGTAATGTCGGCGAGATCACTTGTAATTAGACTGCCGGTCTGTCCTCCCTCCCCTGCACCTACCTCTCTCCATGCTGCGTCCTCCCGGCTTCGTCCTCACTGCCGTCTTCAGGATGGTGAGCAGAGCGGCAGGATTAAAACTAACCCTGCCGCTCCGTGTAGACAGTGAGGGGGGAGAGCAGTGCTGTGCTGTGCTCTTCCTCTCTGACCTGTCACAGGAGTTCCAGCACAGTCCTGTGCTAGAACTCCTGTATTGGAGGTGACAGGGTCAATAAAGAGAACCTGCACCACCAAATGCTATCACACAGTGACTTGTTAGGTGGAAAACATTTTTTATTACAAATTTGTTATATAAATAGAAAGTAGTAATGACTTTTTTTTAAAAATGAAGTAATAAAGTAAAACATTGTAAGAAAAATATATAAATAATTATAAATTAAAAATAAGATAAAAAATCATCAAAAAAAAGTAAAAGCTGACAAGAATAATAAAAATGTAAAAAGTAAAAAAACAATAAAAGTGATAAAGTAAAAAAAAAAAACACACACAAAAAAAAAAACTGGCATTCTCTTGGCAGGGGGGCGCATTGTTGAACCCAGCCTTGGGGCGGCAGGGAGGGTAAATCCGGTCCTGATTATGGTGCATTGGCATGATTATAAATACAAAAACAAAAGGAACATCGGGAATTCATAGATGTTGAAGGTTATGTGTCACAACAAAAATTAAACCAATAATTACTTTTATTCTCCGGTTTGGACACATTTTAGAGCTTTGATGGAACTATTCGATCTAATGAATAGGGCAGCTTCAAATGAATATTTACAACAAAGTGCTCAGCACCTATTGATGTCTAGAGAATGCAAGAAAAAAAAAATCCCCATCTGTTTACCCCCCATAACAACCCCGGCGTGTTTACATCTGTACAGCAAGAGATTAAAATGTTCTATCAGCATATACGGGGAGGGGGGGGAGAGATTATTCATGGATTAGGCGCTGGATAGTAAAGTTACTACTAAACCTTTACCTGGAGAACGGGCTGGAACAGGAGATTTCTTTCTTGAAGATCCAGAAATAGAAGACTGGACACAGCAGATACCGGTACTCACTGTTAGCAGATTTGAAACTTGAATTCATCAAAAGCGGCTCTGGAATCGTATATATAGAAGCGCTTCATCTGTAGAGGATCAAGTGGAACAAAAGTTACTACAAAGGGAACAGCCGTAGGGAAATTACAGGAGTTGGGGGTTGTTCTTAATTTCAGTTTATTAACAAAACATTGTGAGGGGAATTTATCAAAACTGGAGCAGCTGTGCGTGACAACCAATCAGCTTCTCTCTTCAGTTTGTTTAGTTATGTTCTGAGAATAAAAGATGGAAGCTGATTGGTTACTATGGGCAACTGCTCCAGATTCTCTCGTGCCCCCTCCCCCCCTCCCTTCTGTGTTCTGCTCTACCTAATGGGATAACATATAGACTCGGGCATTTTGCAAATGGCAAAGCAACCGGATTCATTTATATGTTGACCTGTGACTGTGGGACCTATTGCATGGGCATGGCCAAGAGGGAATTATTACCAGCAGCTTTATTATTAGGTTTGTCTTGTATTATTCATTGTGGATGATCTGAACCTTTCACTTGGGGTGATTTGAAATTGTATGGTGACTACAGGTTGTATGTAGGTCGGTCTTCCCTACCTGCATGGTGACTACAGGTTGTATGTAGGTCGGTCTTCCCTACCTGCATGGTGACTACAGGTTGTATGTAGGTCGGTCTTCCCTAACTGCATGGTGACTACAGGTTGTATGTAGGTCGGTCTTACCTACCTGCATGGTGACTACAGGTTGTATGTAGGTCGGTC